TCTCTGGAAGGCTGCAGTTGGGAACAGAATGCTAGCTGCTTAGCTAAGACCCTTGAATCTGGTCCAGCGAGGCCATACATATTGATGCTCTCTAGTGCGTGCCTAAAATTAAAAACAACAACATACAAACCTGACTTACCCAAACTTTCCAAGGAGATGCAAGGCCATTGTTCACATTAGTGTTTGTCATGTTTTATTTTGTCATGATTTAATTTTATGGATACTTTGGACATATAGAGGGGATGAACCAAAGGAGACGAAGCAAGTATACAAGACGAGTGTGGATGGGAGAGTTGGAAGGGGTCGACCTCAGCGAATGTACCTCAATCAGATTGAGGACATTTTTAGCAAAGGCCAGTTTAGGAGTACCCTAATTAAGTTAATAACAATGTACCTACCTATATAGTTTAAGTTTAAAAAATTTGGCTCTCAAAATAAATTTCGATCGTTGTACTGTTGATATTTGGCTCTCTTGACTAATGAGTTTGCCCACCACTGAACTATGGCAACACCCACCCAGTCAGACAATGACAGCCAATGATGGCCCTGTGACACACACAGTGGCACACACAGGAGCAGCCGGTGACTGTCCACCAATCCACCCAGTGCCTCTCAGCACAACTTCCTCCCCCACAGACAGCCAGTGGACAAGGAGGGAAGCTCTACCAACAGAGCCAGCATGGTGTAGTGGTTAAGAGTGACGTTCAACCCCACACTCCTCCACATGAAGCCACCTGGGTGACCTTGGGTCACTCACAGCTCGTTCAGAGGTCTCTCAGCTCAAAAAAATATGTCTAGCTCACCACCTAGCTAGAGCTTGAACCTCAGGCTGCCAGACAATATTAGGATCTCCTGGATATACTACACACCATGTCATACAATAATAATTATTATAAGAGCAACCCCAATGGAGGCATGGCCTGAGCATCCACACACACACACACCCAGGCCATCAAGGAAGAGCACTCATGTGGCAGACCAGATGCCCACCTTTTCCGCAACAAGACCCTGACAGGCAGCAAGAGTGCTGCCCACTCACAGTCATCCCTGCTCTGAGCCATACACACCCTTGCCCTAAAAAGGCAAAAGCAAAAAGACAGAGGCCAGGTGTGAACCCACAGCTCCCACACCAAAAAACAGCATCCTAACCATTGGGCCAAGAGAGTCTGTTCGAAGGAGGCATGACAGCAGGTGTTAGACACGCCTTTGCATCCCTGACATCAGCCACGTGGGGCCAGGCAGAGTCCATTGCACAGACAGGCATGCCTCAGTGGTAGCATTGCTAGGTCCTCCCGGCCACTGGCGGGGGGGGGGGGGGGGGGTAAAGTGGCCATCTCCAGGTTAGAAAACTCCTGGAGATTTGGGAATAGAGCCTGGGGGAGACAGGGACGTCAGTGGGGTACAGTGCCATGGAGTCCACCCTCCAAAGCATCCATTTTCTCCAGGGGAGACGAGCTGTAATTCCAGGGGATTCCTAGGTCCCACCTGGAGGCTGGCACCCCTGCTCAGTGGAAAGGCACTGGGATAGCACGGGCAGGGCTTCCTGGTTCGATTCCCACACGGGGAGAGGTCAGAGGCAGGCAAAAGCCTGGGAGCTCATGCTGTGCCCCTGCAAAATCCAAAAGGGGGAATGGGAGAGCACAGCTGATAAGCTGCCCTGGAGACCCGTCATTTTAACATGCTCCGTAACCCCTCTATCCTGCACCCATGGCGGCAGCAGCTCCCTTGCATCCACCCCAGGCCACCTGCACCTGAACTACCAAGCTGCACAGCTTATGTCAGCATTGCTGTGGAGGAGTGTGGGACCCCCTCCCCACGTTACAGCAGCCACACATACCCTAGGTACACCCACCAGCCCATTCCCTGTGCAAGCTACACACAGCAGCTAGCAGAACATGTGTGGGGAAAGGGCTGGGGACCAATAGGTGGAGTCACCCTTCAGGATGCCCCCGGACCCGTTGTTATGCCACTGAACAAAATAGAGGTCCAGGCGCCCCAGAAAAAAACAATGATCCCAGCGTGAGCATGCCTCAGTCAGAGGCCACCCTCTCAGATATATGAAGGGGAAGCCCTAAGGGGAAGTCATGGGGGCGGGGTTGAGAAGGTAGGGCAGGGAGGGGTGTGGAGCTGCTTTCGTTCTCTCACAAACCAACAGACAGGGACAGAGTTGTAGCACACCCCAGACTTTATTGAGCAGGAAATCACAAACAGGGCCAATGATTTGGCTTGCCAAAGAATTGGGCTGCCCGCTCCCCTTGTCCAGTAAGGCAGTTGTGCCTTTGTGATCTGCTCCCAGGGGCCCCAAGGAGATAGATGCTAGGGGAGTCCTGAAAAGCTACTGCAACCTCCCCCCCCCCACCTCCAAGATCTATCTGGGAGAGAAGATAATCATTTAAGACTATGGCCTGGTGGAATAGGCGGCTTTAACAAAACCTGAGCACCGCATGGATGGGAGTGAGGCAGACTTGCTGGCCAAAATGCTGCCCGAGGCAGGGTGCTCCAGGAGCTGGGCTGGAAATGGTGACTGAGCAGACTGGCAGGGACTGTACTGGTCATGTTCCCAGGTCTCTGTATTGACTTGCCGCCTGCACAGATGCTAAACAGAAACATGTGCAGAGATGGTTTTGATCTGCTGGAAGGTCCTTTTCTCCTTTGGTTGCCAAGATCTTGGCTTTGTGTAACGATCAAGATGGAAAAAAGTAAAAGTCGGATCTACATGGATCCTCAGTACCATCAATATTCACATCCCCACTTAACACAAAGGTAATTAATAGTCCATAGGTCAGTCATTCTCTGAGAGTAACCAACTCCACAGGTTTGTTGTACTAAAATCAGAACATAGTTTTCCGTCCAGAGCTCTTCGCCCAGCAATGCTAGCTTCCTATCGCTTCCAAAAAGCTTCATTAAGTAGATACTGAAACAAGAAACGTACAAGCAAAATAAATATCAAAGATTCACGTTCGCTTCAGGGTCTAACGGTGACAGTCACTTCATGGTGAAAGCACCAGGATCGCTCTGGGCACCAAACTGGCTGCGGTCTTACAAGAACCACCGTACTCCTACTTCAAAACGACCATTAAGCTGTTCCGAATTCGTTCAACCGCCTCGCTCTACGTCTACCGAACTCATACTTTATAAGATTGCCCCGTTTGAGCATCCGTCGCTTTGACTCGGCAAGCCGGGGGGGGGGCGAGGAGCGTCAAAAATATACAGGAAGTAGCACCTGTTTCTGACTGCGCATGCGCGTTTCCCTTATGGCCTTTCTAGCTGTAGCGTAAGTGTAGGACTCAGCCACCACCCCCGACGCGCCGCGTGGCCTTGGGGGGGTGGAGCTGCGTTTGCGCAGGAAGAGGCGGCGGGCAGTCATGGCGGGCGACGGACACTCCGGGCTGCCGGTGGGGACGGCTGTAGCGGTCGTGTGCTTGGTCGTGCAGTTGGTGGGCCGCGGGGCGCATGCGCTGTACTTCCACATAGGGGAGACCGAGAAGCGCTGCTTCATCGAGGAAATCCCAGATGAGACGATGGTCATCGGTGAGAGGCGGTGGGCGGCGGCATGGAGGGAAAGGCCGCGGCTCCGGTTCTAGTAAAGACACTGACCCTGTCTCCCTTCGTCCTCCTCACCAGGTAATTACCGGACGCAGCTGTGGGACAAGCAGACCGAGACTTTCCTTCCGTCCACGCCGGGGCTGGGCATGTTCGTGGAAGTCAAGGACCCCGATAAGAAGGTAACGAGCTACCCCTGCCGCCCAGTTGCCTTATCCTCGCCCGTCATTTTGTGCAGCGTGTCTGATGCTGGCGGAGGGTGAGTGCGGGGAGGAAGAGAGACGTCCTGGGAACACCGACTTCCCCTTGGCTTCTCTCCTGCCCCCACCCCATTTCTTGTTCTGAATCATTTTTTTCTTTTTTAAAATATGTGTGCACCTGGAAGTCAAGGCGACCTCTGGTGACTGACCCCTACTGGGGTCCTGGAGGATATTCAGAGAGGTGGCTGAATAAAGCCTGCCTCTGTCCTCCCTACTGCTGGTACCCCAGGAGGTCTCCCATCCAAGTACTTGCCAGAGTTGACCCTACTTAGCTTCCAAGATCTGACGTGATCGGACTTGCCTGGCCTATCCAGGTCAGGGCGTTCTGAATCATTTTTCCTTTCCCATGAGAACGGCCAATGGGAGGCATAATGAAGGAGCCTGGTCAGCAATGCTGAAGTGGTAGACAGTCTTCCTTGGGAATTTCGCACTCACACCCTGGCCCTCTTTCCTTGGGTTGTAGCAGGTGCCTGGACCCTGCTGTAGAGGAGAGTGTTTTTTAGCCTAGTTAACTTGTGATTTTGATTCTTTCTGATGGTTGCTATTCCAGGTGGTTCTGTCCAGGCAGTATGGCTCTGAGGGCCGCTTCACTTTCACGTCACACACCCATGGAGAGCATCAGATCTGCCTCCACTCCAACTCCACTCGCATGGCGCTTTTTGCAGGGGGCAAATTGGTAAGCCAGTTTCCTGTCTTTTGGCATCACGTGCCCTAGTCTTGTTTTTGGGGGTTCTCTGACACTCCACAGCTTGGAGTGGCTGGCCTCCTCACTTATCCTTGTTTATAGCAAGAGAAGTGCTTGTCAAATGTGAGGAAGAGACACTGGTGGATATTTCCAGACCTTCTCTTCCATCTCCTGGCTTGCTTTCTGTCTCTCTGTGGCTCTCAAGGCATCATTTTCTCAGCAAACGAGATGGAAGTGAGGAGAGAGCTCAGGCAAGGGTGAAAAAGCTGGGCCAGGGACTTGTTTGAATTCTTAGGGTGTGCTACTGTGTTTTATGGGCCACTGTCTCATTTGCCATGTTCTGTGTCCAGCGAGTACACTTGGATATCCAAGTTGGGGAGCACACCAATAACTATCCTGAGATTGCAGCAAAGGACAAGCTGACGGAGCTGCAGTTAAGAGCGAGACAGCTTCTGGACCAGGTGGAACAGATCCAGAAGGAGCAGAACTACCAAAGGGTAAGGTGCTCTTTGAGCCTTATTCAGGTTAAAGAAAAACCTTTCAGACTGTCTCAATAACAACAAATAGCTGGGATTTTATCTTGTAATTTGTGGCATGCCAGAGGATGTTCAGCCAAGAAGTGGTGCAAGAGTAAAGCAACAGCAGAAGAGGGTGGGTGTCAGACCTTTCTCCTTGGGGTAGGGGTGTTTCAGCTACTGTTAAACGTGATGTTTGTGGGAAAGTGGTGAAAGGCCATAATGACACATGGGGTGACTGCAAGGAACCAGGGTGAGAGGAATGGCGAGCTTGCTTTGGAAAGGAATGTCTTGGTATTTGGGGGGGTGTTGAAAGAAGCCCCATGTTTGGGAGGGGGGAGTTACTCATGCCCCAGGTATGTAAATAAGGAAACTGAACTGTGCCTGTGGGGGAGGGCAAAACCAGAGCAATCATGTTTCTGATTCTTAACATTGTGTCCATTTTGCAGTACCGAGAAGAGAGATTCCGCATGACCAGCGAAAGCACCAACCAGCGGGTTTTGTGGTGGTCCATTGCCCAGACTATCATCCTCATCCTCACTGGTGTTTGGCAGATGAGACACCTCAAAAGCTTCTTTGAGGCCAAAAAACTGGTATAAACACTTAAGGCAACACAAGTGCTTTTATTAAAATGTCTCACTGTCCTTCTCCAACTTCCACGGAACTCATCTTTGCCCTTTGGAATCAGAAAGATAAAACAGAATGTGAACATACCAGGACTCATGCTCCCTCTGCAAGGATACCCTTCCTGTGGAAGCCTCCAGCTTGCTCCTTGCTCTGTTAGAGCAAAGAAATTGGTGTTGGGGGTTGTATTTGGGACCTTTGGGGTGGGAACAGAATTTTGGTACTTGCAGATATTAGGCAGAGGATGCTGTCTTGGAGAGGCTTGGGAGTGAGATTCTTAAGATTCCCCCCCCCCAAAAAAAAAATCTCCTTGCTTTTTCCTTGTCCTGAGTGTGGGGTTGGCAGGTTCTGTCTCTGCAGTGGTTTGGTTGGCATGGAGAAGAAAGGGAGAAATTAAGTTTATACTTGTGTTTTGATATGCATGGGGGGGCAATAGCAGTTGTCAAAGTCTTTCAGTTCTGTCTCTTTAGTAACAGGAGCAAATGTTACTGACCCACATCCCCTCCTGATGCAATGTCATCAGCTCACCTACTCTCAGCAGCAGAGAATGCACTGCTTCTGTATGCCTTGGTTTCCTCAACACAGTCTGAAAGGTAACTTTGTCTTGGGGTCAACAATAGATGCTAGTTGTGGGACAGCAGATTTAGCAGTCTCATTTTTCCCTCAGAGCCTGACATACAGTGCACATAGAAGTGTGAGAAGTTCCACAGCACTTAGCATGGCAGCAGTTAACTGTGGAGTTTCCTAGAGTTTTTGGGAAGAGGTGGCTGTATGTACCTGCTATTAATGAAGAAAGCAACCCTGGGCCTTTAAAATACAGAAAATGTGCAGTTGAATAGTTGTCCTTTACCACCCACCTTAAATAAATGAATTTATGGCTTCCCTTTGTTTGGGAGGAAAATATTCTGGTTTTGGACAGTCTTTCCTTGTCCTTTCAGACATTTTGTTAATGATGTTAATCTTTATGATTGTACACAGAGAACAGATAAGAACATGCTTTGGCTATTGTTCTTGGTATCAGAAACTTAAGCCCAGAGAAATCCTCAGTTCCTTCTGAAGAGGATGGGTGAATCCTAAATAGTAGGATTAACAGTATAAGCTCCCAAGGCTCCTCCCTTGGGCTGACACTGCAGGTAGGTGAAGAAGTAATTGTTTATGGGGGAAATCTTTTGTTTTAAAAGATGGTTAACTGCCAAAAATAGCACATGTGGCAGCGTAGCAGTTAGCAGTGCATGAAAACAATATAATTGATCCAGCCTTCACCTTATCTGGTCATCAAAGCCCTACTGCCTCAAAGGTCAGATGAGGGGGACAAACAAGGAGCCTTCTGCATGCTTAAAGGCTGAATCCCCTACAATGCTTTCGGATATCATTTTGTAGCAGAAAGCCGCTTCCAGCTTGTGAAAGAAAGGCCAAGCACTGTTGAGGCAGCTCCCTCTAGACTTCTCTTCAGTGGCTCTTGTCATCATCTTTGTTCATTTAGACTATTTCTTTGCCTCCTTTACAGAGAAACCTGCTCACTGAGGCTTACAAAGTAAAGCAGAATAAACATATGCAAGTTATTATTATTTTTTAAAAAGCCAAGATCACAAAACAAGTTTAACAAGTTGCATGAGACAGTTCTTAAGCTCAAAGAAGAAGGTTTTTAAAAGATCAACTGCTTAAAATCCTGAGTAAAAAGAAATGTAGGGTCAGAGCCAGGCAAGTTTCAAGAGGGATGGTATTCTACAGGTCCTGTTTCTGGTCATCACAGCCCTCCATTCTGAAGAGAGGGAGACAGGCTGGTCTAGCTCATCACATTAAAACATCACATCTAAATATTAATGACAAATGAACATTACTAAAAGGTGGTAAGAAAAGCAAGGACACAAACAGAAGAGACCACTGTGCGTTGTCACATCAAAGTATTATCTGTAGTCTTTTGAAAGTCTGTGCCATGCCAAGTACATTGGGGAGGCTACTGCACAAAAAAACCCTATCTGAAAGGGTGGTGGACAGAGCAGTGCTTCTGATACCGGTTTCAACTTGCAAGCAAGTCATATAGGATCAGACAGTCCCATACCTGGCCCTGGACTATTTAGAAAATGAAGAGATTGGATTTATGCCCCACCCTTCACTCGGTGTCTCAGAGCAGTTTACAATCTCTTTCACTTCCCCTCCCCACAAGAGACACCCTGTGAGGTAGGTGGGACTGAGAGCTTTCTCATGAACTGTCCTTAAGAGAACAGCTCTGAAAGAACTTATGACTGACCCAAGGTCACACCAGCAGCTGCACGTGGAGGAGTGGGGAATCAGCTGCACTCATAACCAGGACTCAAACCTGGAAAAAAGGTGGCAGTCAGTGAAGTTCTTTCAAGTCTGGTGAATTGACCCTATGCCAGGCCAGTCTTTTGAACCACTGGAAAAGGCCTCAAGGGGAGCTTTACCTAGAATGCATTTCAGTAATCTAATAACTGTGATGCAATTCTGTGTTTGTACTGAATCAGCATCTAGGTGCTGCTACCCAGTGGATGCAGCAGAACAAAGTGAAATTGGCTCTGGATAAGGTAGATGGTGGACTGCAGAGATGATGTTATAGGGAACAGATCTTCCTGTTTAAGATGAGATATGGCAGTGGAATTTTGTGCCTTTGTGGAAAGCTGGAGTCACAATTACCATCAGGCAAAAGAGCCACATAATTACTATATGCCCATATACCACCCCCAAGCATGTGCATCATTTTAACACTAAATATATAACTTTTTAAATTACCAAAGTACCTCATGAGAGCTTATGTCTTCCCACCGCTGTTGAAACGTAGCCCTTCTGTAGTTGGAGGGAGGGGAAGGAAGTGCTCTGCCTTCTTGCTCTCTTTTTAGCATGCAATCAGCAGGGCACCTGGATGGCAGTAAGCTGGCTGTGGAGAAAGGGGAGTAACACCACTACCTCATTGCAGCCAGCTTGCCCTTCTCCTAGCAGCCAGGATGAGTGCAGAGCAATGCTCCCTCTAAGCTGTGGCGTCTTGTGAGCAAAAATTCTACTTTGTGAGCTACTGGCGTTACAGCTGTGAACGAACAATTTGGCTACTGAATAAATTAGTTTGCTCTGGAGTCATCCTTCCTGAGCTAAGACAAAAATGTGTGAGCCGGAGGCTAAAAAACAGCTAGCTCACACTCACTCAGCTTAGAGGGAACACTGGTGCAGAGCCTGTGGAGAAGGGGGGAGGGTTGTCAGGAATGAGCCCTTCCTACCCTCGCTGCAGCAGCTGTTTCAAGGTGTGGATCATAAGCCCTACCAAGCGAGCAGTGGTCTCTACTTTCCTGCAATGGGGCAGGTGCCACCCTAGGGAATGGTGCTCAGAAAAGCCACTAGCATCCAGGGTATCTAAACAGCTAAAACAATCTTGGGCTGATTGTGGAAGTTTTTGAAAAGATGGTAGAGGTTATTTGGTTAAGTAAACCTTTTTCAGATGGATATGATCAGAAAATTCTACCTTGTGCGCTTGATCAATCTGGCCATACACTTGTAATGTGTCTGATGCAGGGGCTACCCTGAAATAGATAACGTGGCCACTTCGGCTGATAGACAATGCGGCTTTACCTCTGTAAAGAACTATAGGACTGTAGAAGCATAACAGCAGTGGAATAGCGATCCATGACCGATCTACTTCCACGTCCAGTTCAGCGTGCTTTGCTAGCGATTACCTTTTAGAGCCCTTCCTATCCTGGGAACTGCGTATCTGAAGAGTAGCGACAAGACGCTGCCCAAAATTCTCTGTGGAGGAGTCCTATTCGCTTTGCATTTTTAGTCGCCACAGCAACCCAGGCCTTTTCTTGCGTTCCGGGGGCGGGGGGGTTGTTTCTGGTGATCTTTGGTGACTTCTCTAGCGGTTTTTATGCTGGGGTATAACACTGATCTTGCTATAAACGGGAATTAGCCGTGAAAGCATTTCCTTGAAGTGTAATGCAAGAACAGCCCCTCTTGCTTGCTCACAGAAACCCCGGGAGTGGGGCTGAGGAACCACAGTCCACGAAGCAAGAAACTCTGTCTCCCTAACACAGCCGCAACCGCTGCACGGCCTTGGCGCCGTTCTCAAAAGACCAATCCCGTACATGCCGCTTCAGCAGCCAGTACGCCCTTTTGCCAGACAACTGGGCCGGCATGGTCCTCCCGCAGCCAGAGGGCGCTAGGGTCGCTCTGGACGCCGAACTTTAATAACTCTCCGGTACTGGAGAAGGTCTGTGCGCAGGCGCAAGCCACCAGTCGGACGCGGCGACGTGATCATGGAGGACGCCGAGCTGAGTTTCGCCCACATGGGGCTGGATGCGCGGCTCTTACAGGTATCGTGGTAGGATCTGGGGTCCGATCTCCCTTCCATAGACGGGGGCTCCTCCGACCCGTGCATGTGATGCTCCCCTCCTTCCATTCTTTCACTAGGCTGTAGCAGAGCTGGGTTGGGCCAAACCCACGGCAGTGCAGGAGGCTGCCATCCCGCTGGCCCTGGAAGGCAAAGACTTGTTGTGCCGCGCCAAGACTGGCTCCGGCAAGACGGGGGCCTACGCCTTGCCCCTTCTCCAGCGCCTGTTGAACGCCAAAATGGTGAGGATAAGGGGAAGGGAAGAGGGAGGAGAAGAGCCCCGTGCCCTGCCTCGTGCATCCCTCCTATCCTTTTTTGGTCTGTTTCTTCTCCCGCAGGCGCCCACGGTGTCCGCGCAGGTGGTGCGCGTGTTGGTCCTGGTGCCTACCCGCGAGCTGGGCCGGCAAGTAGTGCGCATGCTGCGCCAGCTGGCCGCACACTGTGCCCGTCACGCGCGCTTCGCTGACGTTTCGGGCTCGGATGACATGTCTGCGCAGAGGTGAGGGCAGCGGGTGCTTGCTGGTTGATAGGCAACGCTTAAGGGTAACGGTGGGGCTTCTTATTTAAATACAATAAAAAATATTTTTTAAAAATGTGTAACGGTGGGATCTGGTGGTGGAGGAGGAGGAGGAAAGTGCCCCCAAGCCACAGCTGACTTGTGGTGACCTCATGGAGTTTTAAAGGCAAGAGGCATTCAGAGGTGGTTTGCTATGGCCTGCCTCCATGTCACAATTCTGGTATTCCTTGGAGGTCTCCCATGCGGTTATTAGCCAGGGCCGACTCTGCTTAACTTCTGAGATCCGACAAGATCAGGCTAACTTGGGCTATCCAGGTCAGGGGGATCTGGTCTGTTCTCTGATTTGCAGGCTGGAGGGCCGTTGTTCCAAATCACTTCCTTTTGCTCGTATTCCAGGCCCATCTTAATGGAGAAGCCAGATGTGGTAGTGGGCACACCATCCCGGGTCCTGGCCCACTTGCAAGCGCGCAACCTGAGCCTTCAGGACTCCTTGGAGTTGCTGGTGCTGGACGAGGCAGACCTTCTTTTCTCTTTTGGCTTTGAGGATGACTTGAAGAAGCTGCTCTGGTGAGGTGGGAGCCGGTCTGCCTTGTCTAGGTAGACAGCCGAGGGTGGGTTGGAATGGAGTCTTCCAGGTTGTACTTGCCTGACCAAGTTTGTCTCTTTAATGTACCGGTTCTGGTAGTTTACAAACTGAGTGGGGGGGAGTTCAATGTGTAAGTTACAGGCAGCAGGCAAAGAGAGGTGAGAAGTCTAATAGGTACAGTAAGATCTGCAAAATGTGTAATAGGTCTCTTGAGCCTTTCCCCTCAGTGAAATCACATGACAGTTCTGCTGTGGGCTTCCCCAGTTATGTAGGTCTGAAAGGGATGGCATGAGTGCTACTTACAGTGAACAGATTATATATATTTACAAAATTTGTATGCTGCTTTTCTGCCATCATTAAGGCCACCGGCAGATTAAAAATGCACATTTTGAAAATCATTAAAACCAAACAAAAACATATTATTAAGCCCAAAGCTAAAACACACATAAAGAGACATAAGAACAGCAATGAAAAGAGTGTAGGAAGGAAGGAATCACTGAGGGAATACCAGATGAAAGCAAGAAGTCTTCATTCGACAGTAGAAGATGGCAACAGAGAGGGGCAGGGAAGTCTGTCTGGGGAGAGTTCTGGAAGTTTGGTACCATGGTGGAGAAGTTCCTCTCCAAGGTTGACACCTGCCTAATCTCAGAATGTTGAGGGCACCCAAAGCAGGTCTTGGAAGATGACTGCACTGCACTGGTGGGGTAGATTCTTAAGGTAGAAGGTGGTCCTTTAGGTCCCAAGCTATGCAGGATTTTAAAGATCAACTTCAGCACATTGAATTGTTCCTTAGGAACAGAATTTGCTACTTCATATAGAGGTGGCTATGCTCGTACTTCTGAGTGAATTGTTTTCTGGATAGCGTGTGGAGACCCAGGTGCTGGACCAGGAGGGCTGCAAGGCTGACCTGTAAGCTTGTTTCTTATGAGTTTCTATTTCCTTTCCAGTCATTTGCCCAAGATCTACCAGACGTTCCTCATGTCAGCCACCTTCAGTGCAGACGTGCAAGCTCTGAAGGAGCTGGTGTTGCATAATCCTGTAAGAAGGGGGGGTAAATTTCTAGGGTCTGTTTGGGGTGGGTTGGAGGCTGAGTGTTCCTTGTGTCACTGAGTTTTGCAGAACAGTCCTTGCTCCTTGTCTGTCAACTCTGTTTCCATTGTTCACCCTACTCCTCAAGGGTGTTTGGCACAGAGAAGGGAGCACTCTGGTCAGTCTCCTCAAGTTCATTTTCAGAAAGGGTCTGTTTGCTTGGGTGTCCTGCACAGGTGACCCTGAAGTTGCAGGAGTCGCAACTGCCAGACAGCTCCCAGCTCAGCCAGTACCAGATTCGGAGTGAGACGGAGGAGGACAAGTTTCTGCTGCTCTATGCACTGCTGAAGCTTTCTCTGGTGCGGGGAAAAGTCATTCTCTTTGTAAGCACCATTGACCGCTGCTACCGCCTCAAGCTGTTCCTGGAGCAGTTCAGCATCCCTGCCTGTGTGCTAAACTCAGAGTTGCCTGTTCAGTCTAGGTAAGCCTCAGTAGGGTTGGGGGTTTCTGTATGCAGTTGAAGTCCTTAGTTGGGGCAGTTTTGTTTGGGGATACTTTGTGCTCCTTAGCAGCATGTCAAAAGAATGAACTATGAAGAAGAAGAAGAGATTAGATTTATCCCCCGCCCTTCACTCGGAGTCTCAGAGCGGCTTACAAACTCCTTTCCCTGCCCTTCCCCACAACAGACACCATGTGGGGTAGGTGGGGCTGAGAGAGCTCTGAGAGAAACTCTTCTTGAGAGAACAGCTCTGAGAGAACTTGTGACTGACCTAAGGTCACCCAGCCAGCTTCACGTGGAGGAGTGGAGAATCAAACCCAGTCCTCCCAGATTAGAGTCCGCACACTTAACTACTACACCAAACTGGCTCTATGGGAATTGTAACCTGCCTAGCTCGGATTTGTGGGCCAGATATCCAACAGTTAGTGCCCTGGCAGAGTTCCTGGCAGAACATGTCGCCCATAAACTATGGGGATGGCTCCCTTGGGGCCCTCTGGGACTGCAAGAGGACCTGTTGACCAGAGGCTCACTGGTACTTCTGATTCACTTCCAGATGCCATATCATCACTCAGTTCAACAAAGGCTTCTATGATTACATTGTCGCCACAGATGAGCAGCACCTGGCAGAGCCAGAGGTACTGGGGCAAGGAAAGAAGAAAAGGGGCAAAAGAGCAGAGAAGTAAGTTTGCCTTGGCAGGGTATATATTGGCTTAGTAGACAGAGTTTCAAATGTTTAAGTATCAAATAGGAGGCCGAAGTAGATAACTGAATGAAGCCTTCTGCCTGGCAGCCTGTGTGCACATCAGTCCCCCTCTGATGTTGCTGGTGCTTCTTGGCCCAGTAGGCCTTTCTTCAAGCTTTGTGGGTGTGGCGTGGAAGATCCATTTGAGAGGCTCAGGGGTGTTGGGTGTTTTCCCCAGACTGGCTGATTGTGAGCAGCATCTGGGATGCAGCTGTCCTGAGTGTCCTCTTGCTACTTCCCTTCTAGAGGTAAAGAGTCTGGTGTTGCACGTGGCATCGATTTTGAGAATGTGTCTGCTGTCATCAACTTTGACTTTCCTCCTTCAATTGAGTCCTACATACACCGAGCAGGAAGGTCAGTAGCCCTGGGAAAGCATCGGGGGGGATATCTGTGTTTACGGAAGTGAAAAAGCTTCATATATCTGTAATGTGGAGATCCGTTAGGGATTTTCAGTAAATTGCTGCCTTGCAACTTGACCAGGCCATGGAATGACTGTGTGTCATCTGGAATTTGGGAAGGCTTTTGTGTGGATAGCAAGTAATGCAGAAGTTTGATTCTTGGAATCTCAGTGTATTATAGAAAGGGCAATTTCTAGTGCTGCTTTGTGGAGATGCTTTTCTTTTGTTTAGAAGTGAAGGTGTGTAGTGACTTGTGTGTGGTGGTGCCTTAGGTGTGGCCTACCTAGCTGCTGTACCTTTTTTCTTTTTTTGCACCTTATCTGTGCATTCTTTGTTGCAACAGAGTGGTATTTCTCCGCAATCAGCAAGAGAGATGAGGATTGCTGTAAACAAAACCTGGCACAGATGTAATTTGTTTGCAGATAGCAAACCTATTTTCCATATTGTTGGGAGTGTGCAGCAGTTTGGGACTTCACTGCATGCTGTGAACGTGGAGGCCAGGCCATACCAGGGGCTCTGTTAGTGGGTTTCAGCCACCTGCAAGTGCCATTTGAGCTCCAGTGCTCAGTCTCCATATGCAGTACTGTCCTGTAGTTTCCAGGTCTGTCCATGATGCAGCGGGTTCAAGGCTGTCAGTATCCCAATGTCTTGGTCTCAGTTGTGCTTTTCCTTTCTTCTTTCTTGCAGAACAGCCCGTGCCCACAACCCTGGAACGGTGCTGACTTTTGTGTCTTGCTCAGAGAGTGCCCAGCTGGCCAAGATTGAGGCAGCACTTGTGGGAGGTGAGTGTGAGAGCTGTCAGTTGGTCCCATGCAAGCAGGTTGCTGAGGCCAGCCAGAATGGGCACTAGACACAAAGCTGTCATCCCTTTCCGGCCAATTCGGGGGGGTTCCCTTGTGGCTATTCAGTGCGATAGTTGCTGTGCCATAACCAAAACTGTCCCTGCTTGTTCCCCAGAAACCAGTGCAATCACCTTACAACCGTATCAGTTTCAGATGGAAGAAATTGAAGGCCTCCGATATCGCTGTCGGGTTAGTGTGTTCGCTTGAGTAGCATCAAAGTATGCATGGGGAGGGGAAATTTGATGTCCTCAGGGACAATACAACACAAATTCTCTTGTTGTGCTTTACAAAATGGGAAGAGGTGGATGTAATTTTTTTCATGTAAGGCTGCTTGTGAGCGTGGCTGTGAGGCCTGTGCAGAACTTCAGCATCTGCTGGGAGATTAGATCTGCCTGGCCATGCTTTATTGTTCAGAAAATGAAAAACGACTGAGATGTAGAGTCCCCATAGAATCCTCAGAACTGGCTCTTGGGTTCTGCTAGTGCTCACGTTCTGTTGGAAGTTTCCTGGGTTGCTTTTAATATAGGTGCTTCTCAGTATTAAGAGCGGGACAGAGATGCTCTCCATGGGGCTCGGTTGACCTATTGCCTCCTTGAATTCCAACTAGTGGCAGATTAGAATAAGCAGCTTCCACAGACTGGGGTGGGGTGGGGAGCACCTAAGCTGACTTGAGTAAACACAATTAATGCAATTTAAGCACAGGCTGGAAATTTTAAACACATTTTTTCCTGCAGTCAAGGTGGGGATTGCCAGATATATTAATGCAGAAGTACCTGTATTCCTCTTCCATCCCCATGTTACACTTTTATCTTCGTCTGCCTGTGGGTGCTTATGACCAGGTAGGCAGAGCAGGTACCTCATGGTTGCTGCACTGCCTGAACTCTGCCCCCTTCTTGCTTCCAGGATGCCATGCGTTCAGTCACCAAGCAGGCAATCAAGGAGGCTCGGCTCCGGGAGATCAAGGAGGAGCTGCTCAACTCAGAGAAACTGAAGGTATAACCCTGGTCATGGGGGGTCTCCCCCTCACCCGCAATGTATTGACAATCTTTCTAGAGATGCATGCCTGCTGTTTTCTTTTGGACATCCTTTCCCCCCGCCCCCCTTCTAGACATACTTTGAAGACAACCCCCGGGATCTGAATCTATTGCGCCATGACCAGCCCCTTCATCCAGCCATCGTCAAGCCGCACCTGCGCAATGTGCCAGAATACTTGGGTAAGGAGCAGATAAGAGTGCATGGAAAATGCTGGAAAGAAGCAGAGAATGGACATAATTGTGCCTGTTGAGAGCACATGTCTGCTGCCTTGAAAGAGTGGTGCAGTGCTGCACAGTAACAGTATACCACAGGGTGCACATTAACTCTTGGTCTTCGTACTCTTTACTTAAAAATGATCTTGTTGTAAGAAACCATGAGCGTAGAAATCTCAGCAGTCCCTGTAAAAGTGAGGGGTTGCTTCCATATTTTGACTGGAGAATATTTGTTTACTTTATAGCCCACTTTTCTTTCTGAGACTCAAGGAGGATCCAAATAGAAAAACAAAGCAGTCAGATTGCATTCAGCAGCCAAAAATCAATGCAATAGGACTAGGGTTGCAAAATTATAAAACAATGTAAACCAAAATAAATAAGACATGGCATACAATAAACAGTGCAGAAGCTAATCATAGAATCAGAGTTGGAAAGGACCGCCAGGGAAATTTCAGGTGGCAGGGCATAGCAGGAAAGTTACTGGGGATAGCAAGCCTTGAAGGACTTTCTAGGTGATAACCAGAACTTGAACAGAACCTGATAACTGATCAGTAACCAATAGAGGGACTGCAATAGTAGGTATCTGTGGGGAAGCAAAATGAGTATGTAGATTGGCATGATAGACAGATGCAATAGGATGATGATGAAATCAGCTGGAGTAGAAGGTTGGTGGGGAGGATCAGGGACCACACTAGGACCGATTCCCCACAAGCAACTCTGCCGCTGTTGCTCTTCCGTTTCCCCCGGTTGTATTGGTCAATTTCACACTATTCGCTGTGCGGCCGCATTTTGACCCGCATCTCCCCCCGATTTCCTCCATGTCTTCTCAATCCTCAAAAAACAGGATCGAGAAGACATGGGGGAAATCGGGGGGAGATGTGAGTCAAACTGCAGCCGTGCAGCGAATAGTGTGAGATTGTCCAATGCAACCAGGGGAAGCAGCGAAAGAGCGATGGCGGCACAGCTGCTTGTGGGGAATCGGTCTGGGTATGCGCTTCTGCATCCTGTTTGTTTGGACAGCAGCCAATTGCTCCTTCTGCTTTTCTTCGCAGTGCCCCCTAGCCTACAAGCTGTTGCACGGCCCCTCAACTGCAAACGCAAGCGGCGGAAGCCACTGCCTCCCCGTACTAAGGTTTGTGTTCTGTGTCTCAGTTCCAATGTGGTATCTGCAAGGAGGCTCTCTGAAATTGGAACAACCAGCTCTTCCTCTCCCCCACCTCCTCTTTGTAGTATTGCCAAGAGTCCCAAGAATGATATCTGTAGTCCAGTCCGTGCTTAGGCACAGTCAGTAGTGTTGCTATTAATATTGCAATGGGGGTGGGTGCTACAGAGGTGGCCTGCAGTCTGGGTGGGGGCTGTCTGAGGTATCCCCCATGTTCTCGTGCCCTATTCTTGGGGGAGGCAGCTCTTTCTCCAGTAACCCATGCTAAGATTCCACCACTTCATTCAATTAGTATAATGGAACCCTTCCTGAGTTCCCAGCTCTTGATTGCAGATGAGACTCCATTAGATGCCAAAATAAAATGAAAATTGTTCTTTTGCTGCTCTCTTGCAAGGATGAGTTCCTCATCTAGGCCTTTAGGTGGAGCCTTCTGTTCCCTGCCACTGAGAGCATGCTGATTAGTTCAGTTGGCATTCCTTCGCAGTGAGAAATAATCAACACGGCTCTGGACGGCTGCTGGGTAGTGAACTTTGCCTCCACCCCTTCTGTTTGACTCTCCTTGTCTGGCTATTGCACTCACAATCCTGCACTTAGAGTTCATTTAAACGATCAAATATTTCCAAATGTGTTTATGGGTAAGAAAAATATAAGTTATGAATAATAAAAACAGCTTAGTCAACAGCTGCAGCAGAATGAATTTTAAAAAGCAATCTCTGTAGATCCCACACAAGGCAGCAGATAGCCAGCTCAACGAAAACTGAGGATACCCTAAATCCTAAGAAGTTGTGTGTGACACCAGAGAGAGTAAATAATGCACCGGGCTGAGGTCCTGCCTAAGCAGAGCATGGCAGAGGGCTTCAGAAGATGACCTTAATGGTCCAAGAATTTGGGACTGGGTGGGCCATTTTGGAGACTATCAGGAACTTGCTGTATGGCTGAATGCAGGGAAAGTGTGTGGAAGAGAGCTGGAGTAATCTTTGAAGGTTTCCAGTGTAGCCTTCGTGAGTTGCTTGGGAGAAACAGGGCAGCAGTCTCTCATTCTTCTGTTTCCTCCGTGCAGGAGCAGCAAAACCCACTACGCAGCTTCAAATTCACAAGGCAGAAATCACGGACTCCAGCCAAGAGAAAGAAACCCTCCTGAGTTCCTGGCTCTGGCGGACAGTGTTACGTATGCATTAGAGAGCAATGTGACTATGGACCCTCCACTCTGGGGCTGTGCTTTTCTGCCAGGATAGGACATTTCTATATGAAAATACTAGAAGAGTGTTTGGGCCTTTAAATATACAGATTTTAAAAGACTTCCTACCCTTTCCTCGGAAAGCAATTAAAATGGCTGAAACCTCTTAGACTTTTAAGTCCTTAAGGTAAAAAGTTGTGTTACAAATATAAACCATTTGTGAGTTTATGGTTTATTCTGGAATGACTCAGACAAACGTATTTCCTTCTCATACTGGTCTTCCCAGATTAGGGGATTGGGGGGGGGGGGGGTAAAGACAGGACATGAACTTGGCACTGGTGCCAGAGACTTCCTGGCTTCTGGCAGCTGCATGGATGGATGCTGGTGCAAAGGTTGTTACCCCCCCCTTTAGTCTTCACAAGCCCACTTGCAGCAGTGGAAGGGAGATTGCTTCTGGGTGTTTGCCAGAAGGTGGTGGTCCTAAGGCAGAATAGCTCAGGAGTCTGAGAAGACTGGTACACTTGCCATTAATGTCTTCCTTGGGGGTTGAGTGCACAAATCGCTCCACTATCAGCTGTCTCCCTTTTTTGCTCTAAGTCTGCTTCTACCTGTTGATAACCACCTGCAGATGCTCCTTGAAATAATGTCCAAATATTGTCTTGAGCAGATGAATTAGGTGAGCATTCTGTCCATTGTGGTGTGAACCAGTGTGGTGCATGGTTCAGTGCAGGGCTGTTGAACCAATTTGTTATGAGGGCTGGATCTGACATAAATGAGACCTTGTTGGGCTGGGCCATGTGTGTCATAAAATGTAATGCCAGGTAGCGGAGATATAAACTTTATAAAGGACACAAGACAAACACAAAGATTTTTTAAAACTTTAAATAAAACATGCTTAAAACACTAGCACTCTTGCAATATTTTGTCTATTTAACAGTCTCTGATAACTGACACCTCTTGCTCTGAATTATTGCATCAAAATATCTGCTGTAGTAATCTTGAGTATGCTGTTCAGGTGTGTACCTGTAAGCTGCAAACCTACTTTTGATTTATTGAGATGCATTACAGAAATCTCATGCTCAGTGTTCTGAGCCTAGGACCCAAGGAAAAACATGAAATGGCTGGGCATTGCAACCTTTTGTACCCAGGTTGCTTCATGTACTGGTCAAGAACATGAGAAGGCATCCTGACACAGACTGAGGGCTGTTTGTTTGTCTAAAAAACTATAGTCTTCCCCAGAGAAATCACTACAACTTCCTTCAAAGAATATGTGCTGGGTGAACTTGGTCTGGATGTGCACTCTCAGCCTAATCCACCTCACTGGCTTCTTGTTATTCCTCCTCTAAAATAGTTCACATTGCTTTCTTACTGAGAAAGACTGGATCATGAGGGCATGAATACACTGAAACTCTGGCTGGTTCCTAGTTGCACTTGCACCCAGGAGAGCCCTGGCATACGGAGCCCAACAAAACACACACACAGCATAAAGAGCCCAACAGAATATACACACACTGTAGCAAGGCACACAAAAGCTCATACCTTAAAAAAAACTTTGTTAGTCTTAAAGGTGCCTGGTATTTCTCCCGTGCGATTGAGGCAGCCCAGCAAAACAAGCTCTCCCTCGTTCCCTCCCTTCAGGGAGGAGCCTCAGCCAGTGGACGGAAAGAAAGGCTTCCCTTTGTCTCCTGTGCACGATTGAGGCAGCCTGGCCAGGAAGCAAACTCTGGCTGGTTCCCTCCCATCAAAGTCAGTATTGTCTCGCCAGACTGACAGTGGCTCTCCAGGGTCTCAGACACAGAGGTCTTTCACATCACCTACTACCTGGTCCTTTTAACTAGAGATGCTGGGGGTTGAACCTGGGACCTTCTGCCTGCAAAGCAGAGATGCTCTACCACTGAGTCATTGCCCCTCCCAAACTGTAGCATTTTGTCTAGAGGTAATCAGGGTAGGATAACAGGTTTGGGTGGAGGCATTTTGTCTAAAGGTAATCTGCTTTCTGGAGCTGCGGTGGTTCAAGTGGTTAAGACGCTGAACTGCAGGCTGTGAAAGGTCGGTAGTTCAGTAGTTCAAGACCCGAGTTGCCGCATGACGGAGTGAGCTCCCGTCTCTAGTTCCAGCTCCTGCCAACCTAGCAGTTCGAAAGCAAGAAATTGCAAGTAGATAAATAAGTACCACTTCAGTGGGAAGGTAACAGCGTTCCGTGCGCCTTGGTGTTTAGTCATGCTGGCCATGGAAACATCTTCGGACAGCGCTGGCTCTTCGGCTTTGAAACTGAGATGAGTACCGCAACCCGAGAGTCGGATTCGACTGGCTTTTGAGCAAGGGAACCTTTACCTTTAATCTGCTTTCTCCAAGCCAGCAGGGATGTGCTGTGGCTGTTGTTCCGACAGGCCTTTGCTCGGAAAAGGACGTTCTTGGCTGCTGGGATGAACAGGGGAGCCATGCACCCATTCTTAATGGCTGGCAGTGGTGGCAAGGCAGTTGGACTATTGCCCTGGCTCCGTGCCTTATCAGGATATACAAGGCAGGAGTCAAGGCCAGGACTGGATTGTAAACCTTGAGGAGACAGGGTAGGATAACAGGTTTGGGTGGAGGCAGTGGTCTTATATGACGTTTCAGGGCAAAGATTAGGTGAGTGGCTCGTCGTAGATAGGAAATGTGCAGCTCAGTATATTCATTAATTTTCTTTGCCTTTTGTTGTACGCCCTGCTCCCCGCCCTTCATGATGTGTTTGTGTACCTGCAAGCAAGAGCTGCCTTGCATATTTACTGTAAAACATTTATATCCTCAACCAAGGAAGTTTGCGAACTGCTTATCATAGACATCTGCAATAGATTGGACTAAAAGTCAATAAAGTAATTATCAGTAAGATGAAACCAAATAACAATCTTAACCATAAAACAATTTAGAAGCAAAACTATTATTCAAAAGGCAAAGTAAGGTTTCACGGGCATGGTACCAATGGATGGTATTTACTTGTGGGTGAGGGCCTGTGAGCAATTGTTGGGTGGAACATTCAGACTGCCTTCACAATGATGATGTGACGGGGAAAAGGAAGCATCTAATTTCTGAGACTCTTTGATCTTTGCTGCCCAGAAAGTTGGACACAAACTGCTCCTCCAGTGAAACTGAAGAAGAGGCGGGTGGAGGTACAGGAGTCTCCTCTTCAGCAGAAAGAAACAGCAGTGTTTCTTCCTTTTGCTCAGTGCACACATCCTGTTGCTCAAAGAGCATCCTGTGCAAACCATTTTAGAAGTGACCTCAATTTGGAAAGTAAATGGTTTCCTGTACTTTATTTAAGGACCTGTGATAAATGTTCCTGCATAGACCTGCTTTCTTTAAAATTCGGTGGTTTTTGCAATTGGAACTAACTGAGCTCTGCAAAGATCCGCACATGCCATGCCTCCAAGTCTTGATTCATTCTGGCCTACGTAGACTAGTACTTCTCAAACTTCAGCAACTCTGGGAGCCACATTTTGATTAAAGATTCTTAGCAAACCCAAGCCCTCTTCATCTCCGTCACCCATGCTCACTATGTTGCAGATGCCCCTGTTTTCATAGGGCACAGCCTGCTCCATGGAGGCCCACTTCTCCCATCCCAAGCAAGAGCGTGAGAATTACATTTGCTACACTTTAAAATCCAATTTAATAAAATGTTTGTGACTCACAAGGTCAGGTAACAGAGTTTAGCTGATTCTTTTGAACCGTAGGCTCTAACTCAAGTTCTGATCAATTGAAAGCAACTTTGTATAGAACCCCCCCCCCAATAGGTTAATATCTCCTAGGTAGAGGCCAGCTGAACAGGGTGGGGGAGAAATGTTCAGAGCTGCTCATAAAACTAGAAACAGGCCAACATTGCACACAAGGTGAATGAACACACAGAGTTGTAACTCTTCATCGCGAAACCATTTGCCTTGAAAAACAGTGGGACAATTTTTTTATTTGAAGGTAACTATCCTGGCTGTCCTTCCTTGGTGCCATTCCCCGTTGAAAGAGGGGAAGCTAATTCCATCCTCCAATGTGAAGAGTTCTATCCCCATTGCTGGAATCTCTTTTTGCACTATCCAACTGGATTTGAGAAGGACTTATCTACTGCCCTTGCAAAGGATTAGCAGATCCTCTGCTGTACTCTTGTGGACCACAGTTTGACAGACACTGAAAGTGTGCTTTTTTGTAGAAATAAGAATGCAGAGTTGTTTAGTCATCCCATGCTAAAAAACCCAAAATTACATGCTAAAAAACAAAAATTACACTCTTCAACAATAAGAGAAAATTATGGTTAGGTTTTCCCAATTTCATCCTTAAAGTAAAGGGACTGTTGGTGGTTCCAAGAGCCTCCTGGAGCATGGTTATTGGGTCACTTTTGCCTTAGAGCCCTCCTCTAGTACAGAAGAGACAGTGTTGCCTCTGCCTTGGGCTGACCACATGAAACAAATTCTAGGAGCCTGGACTGGGCACAGTAATTGGCTTTGGTACCTACCTTGGGGGCTTCCTGGGATGGAGGCAAGAAAGTCTGGGACATATGAAGCTGCCTTCAACTGTTAGGCTATTGGTTGACCTTGCCTAGAATGGTCTGCCAGCCAGGATCTCAGTCAGAGGAAACTTTGCTAAGATATGTCTAATTGTAGATGCCAGGGGACTGAACCTAGAACCTTGTGCGTGTCAGCAAGGCCTTCTGCAGGTGCCGGCCTGCAAATGGGCAAAATCAACAGAAGCCTTGAGATGTGCTTTCCCTTATGCAGGGACCACACTGCAAAAGGGCAAAATCAATAACTGCCTGTAGATGCCTTCTCCTTTATGGAGCATCCTGCCTGATGAAGCCAAGAAGGCCCCCACTCTCCAGGCATTCCTCGAACGATGCAAAACTGGATTATTCAGGAGGATATTTTTATAAAGGCCTTTATTATTGTGGAGTGGTTCAGGAAGATGCTTTAGTAAAAGGCTAGAAACTGTGGAGTTACAATACTGTGTACAGAGCAAATACTGTCTGTGTATAGAGCAAATACTGCCTAATACTGTATTAGGCTATTTCATTGGCTTTAATTTCTGCTCATTACATTGTTTATCTCCCATCCTATTGGCTGCATTGACTTACTGTGTAACCTGCCTTGAGCCTCAGTGAGAAGGGTGGACCACAAATGATGTAAATAAAAGTCAGCTAGGGCCCTTCTAAGAACACCACTCCCTTCTACAATTGTGAGTGTTCAGCAGGGTCTGGTCTTATTCCTGCAATGCAGCTACAATCTTATATGTGCTTTTAGGAAAAAACGGAAGG